AACTACAATGACAGATATGATGAGGTAAGATTCTCTGTGCTGCTGGCCTTGTCTTTGATTTTATTCTTATAGTCTGTTGAGAGTGTTACATCTAGAGTTGTTTATGGTGTACCCAGATTCTTTACCCAAGGATGGGGTAAAATGTGAATGCTGTCACCAAGTTAGAAGTAAACAGTGCTATCCCAGGGCAAGGATTTAGAAGAGGCAACAGGTTCTGCTTGGCTGAACTCCATCCCCCAAGTCCAGGAGTTACTTGATGGCTGAACCCAACAGCCCTCGTGGGGAAAAACCTTAAGCTCTTCTTTCACTTTCTGCCCTGAAATACAGCTTGAAATGTGCAGGACTTCATAGTTGAGGGAGCTCTTCCCCTTGTGCAGAAAGGAGTGGAACTGTGTGAGTTTGATTGAATGAGGCCTCTAACCTGCCCTCCCTCCTTTGCAGATCCGTCGTCACTGGGGCGGGAATGTCCTGGGTCCAAAATCGGTGGCTCGCATTGCAAAGCTGGAAAAAGCAAAGGCTAAAGAGCTGGCTACGAAGCTGGGCTGAAGATGTACTGGATTGCTTTGTACATAAAGAGAATAAACCCCAGCTAAGTTTCAGTGGTCTCTCTTCATGGGGGGCAGGGGGGTGGCACAGTGGCACTACTGCACTTCTGTTTGCCTTCCATGAAATGATAGAGCAGTGCTGTGCAGAAGGGGCTGCACAGAGCGGATTATTTCACTTGGAACAGCTGTCCTTGATTACTAGTCCTGTGTAATAATTCCTCTCCCTTTGAACACACAGCCCAGCAACAGCAGCTCAGCTGGACATGCTGGATCCACAGTAACCTCTAATTCAGGTTTCTCGCTGTTCAATGTAAGATGCACGATGCAAGTCACAAAGCAGAGACCTGTAGGCCTTTATTTACTCTGATGCAACGACTTTGAGCCACTCCTGACCTCAGGAATGCCTACTCAATGCAAAGAAACTTTGATTCCAAAATCCTTTGGATTTGTCCAGGAAAACACAGCACTGCAGATGTTAAAATGTGGTAGCTTACAATCAGCCACAACAGAAAAATGTGTCCTTGATTACTGTTTCAAGTTCAGTCAGTGCTTCCAAGCTGCAGCCAAGTCACTCTGGTGGCAGCTCAGAGTCTGCAGGGGTTGCTTAAAAGTTGATTTGCATCTTGATAGAGGCACATGTTTGCTGAACAGTGCCCTGAAATCCTGGGTGTTTCAGTTATTGAGGACTGACCGGGCTCTTGTCTTCCACAAAAGTCTGCTCCTGACTGTAGCACAAATAAGTTACATATTCCCCTCATAGAGGTATCTTCTGTATAAATTTCCTGTACCACAAGAATGAGGTTGCAGCACATAAGCCATACCTATAAGAGAGAATAAAGCCACACATTCACACCTTTCCAAGGTGGACCGGACCTTTCCAAGGCAGCTGCAGTAACTGATTATTTCACATCCCCTTGGAAATGTCAGGTTAAAAATTCCAGGCTTTTGCAGCTTAAAAGCTCATGCAGGCAAGACTTTTAAATATCCCAGAGCACCCCAGGGAAGGTCAGCCAGGCTGGTCCCTTACCAGGTGACGATGTACTGCATGTGCTCGTTTCGCAGGCTCACTCTGGTCTGGCCACCAATGGGCCCCCCTGGGACGGTGCTCCCTGCAGGGACAACAGCCAGGTTAAATCTTCAGCCTGCACAGTGCAGAGCTGCCTTGGCTGTGAGAGAGGGCATGAAGGTGGTAAGTCTGGTGGATATCCTGCTCTTCTTCCTCGGGCAGTGGTGTTCCCAAGTTCATCACAGGGAAGAATAGTTTTTCCTAATATCCAATCTAACCCTGCTCTCTGTCAGTCTGAACATTCCCCCTTGTCCTACCACTCCATGCTCTTGACTAAAGTCCCTTTCCAGCTCCTGTAGGCAGCCTGTCACCTTCAAAACTGGGCTAGCAGAGTACAGGAAGAGAAAGATGCAATACCTTGTTGGATTTGATGATACTGAAAAGCCTTTACAAAGTCTTTACCAACCGAAATGATTCCATGGCTCTACCTTTCCAGGTGCCCAGGGAAAGTAACACACTGAATGGAAAGGGAGGGAGGCTGGTGGGGTTGGGTTCCTGTGTGACTTACTGAAATCTGCATCGATGAAGATGGGCTCAGCACCTGTCACCTTGGCCATGGCCTCCAGGTCTCGGTAGTGCCAACGGTTTTGTTCAATGTTATTCTCGGGCACAAAGGGTTTCCGGGTCTCTGTTAACCTCACCACCCCCGTGAGATCGATTTCATCTTCAATCTAAGGGAGAAGTGCAGAGAGGAAGAAAAGGAACCTTTCAAGATTCATTTCATATTCTGGCACACCGAGTCCTGCCAGGAGAACACGGCACTAGCAGGGTCTGAGCACACACGAAGCTGTTGTGTCCTGCATGTGCTGTAACACAGCAGGGGAAAAAAGCAGAACAAGAACAGCTCCTTGTTTGTAAAACACATTATTTACTACCAAAAAAGTGGGAAACAAAGGTTTGTCTTTGAGAAGTGCAATGACTCTTTTAAGTCACCTCCCATGATGCTGAACATGGGCAGAAAGTAACACCCCACATTCCCTGGATCCCTCTTACCTGTCCCTTCAGCCTGGTCTCCGGTTTCAGTTTCTTTCTGGGCACAAATCCTCGGTTGACTAAAATCGTGACCCTAGGGTTACACAGAGAAGGAAGGCTCGGGAGTGAAAGGTAATTTATTCCTGCAGCTGCCTAGAACTAAAGATCAAAGAGAAGCAACCCACAAGTTTGCTTTTTGCCATTTCTTTTTGTCATGTTAAAAGTGCATGTTAAAAGGGAATTTAAATACAGTATCAAATGGAGCCTCAGTGACCGCACAGACTGTGAGGGAAAACCTTTTAATGGAGGGGGAGTGATTGATATAAATCTAACCACAATTCAGCTTTTCCAAACGGAAGTGAGGTGCTCAGGTGGACCACAACTCCCCTTAACTCACCCCAGCTCTGTGCAGTAGAAGGGGGTGACAACGTTGGCTCCGTTCTCCGGGTGGGATGTCAGCCGCCCGGCTTCCCGCGCTTCCCGCTCCGGGTCCACCAGCGACCGTGGCAGGATGTAGAGCTCCTTGGAGTGGTCGAAATGCCCTCGGACCTTCACGGGTCTGTACTCCAACTCCTTCAGTTCCATGGGGCTGCATGGAACAAGAGCAAAACAAAGTCGTGGCTGTGACAGGCAAATTAAATTTAGGGGATTTTTATCATGGGGTGTACCTTTGGGATGTCAGACATCAGCTACCAAGCCCTCCTGCCCCAGGAGGATTACACACGGTATGAACTACATCCCACATTCTCCTGAACAGAGGCTCATCCTTTTCCCGTGCATTTAGAATATCCCATAGGAAAGCATTCACTTATAATTCTACTGAAAATAATAACTTTAACAGGATCTCTCTCTGATTTGCTGGTACATCCCGATTCCCATCGCAGTCCTTCATTTTCATGCAGGTTAGTTCAGCACAAGCTCATTAGCGCAGGGTCCATATCTAATATCCCCAGCACCCTCTAGACAATAAACCATCCCAGCTTCCATACTCTAATGTCAGAGGGATTGGGTCTGCTGTAATTCTTGATGCCAGTTGTGCAATCAGATCTAACTTCCACTTTCGTCGCTGAACCTGAAAGTACACAAACACAGGAGTAATTCCTTAGGGTAGAACAGAGCAGTGCAATGACCTCAGAAAGCCTTGAAATCTTGGTTATAATATTTTCATCAGACCTGGCCTAAAACAGGGTAATTGGAGACATGAAAACGGAGGCTACTGACTTTTAATTTGAGAAAATATACTGAAATAGAAGTGTAAAAACCAAGAATCCCTCCTTTAAGGACTTACAGATGGACACTTGGAAAACAGAAATGTAAAACAACAGCAAATCTTTACCCTGCCTGTGATTTGGACTAAATTAAATGGCCAGAGACTGAAAAATCTGACAGCCCTCAAGTGCTCATTTCTTGAAAAAATTAAATATTTATTTGTACCTGCCATGTGCCGAGACCAAACGTGGTCAGAGGGACCAGGAGAAGGCCCCATTTCAGTAAGGCATCATCACCAGATGTGTCAGCAGCTGCTGCAGAACTCCGTGGTCTGCAGAACCTCAAGCAAACATCTGGAGAAAAACAGAATGAGGAACAGGATTTATAGAGAAAAGGTGCCAGATTCCTGCAGGAAATGTCACTCTGGCATTAGGCTGAAGCAGGGCAGAAGCCCAAACAAATCTTAGGCATCATTCTTACCTTTAGTCTGCTGAACCAGCCCGGAACCTGCTTTAGTTAGGGGATATCCAAAAAATGTTCTTCTGATCAAGTAATGTGATACCTATATGGAATAAGAAGGATCCTTTGTAGCATCTCTGCTTTGTAAAACTTTTATCTAGGTGGTAACAGTCACCTTCATGACTGCATGAAATTTTGCTTCCTCATTGATTTTGAGCCTGTGAAGCACTATGGGCCGGGTTATAATTCAAATAAAATTAAGTTAGATTCCAGTTGCAGAGCTGACTACAGCACAGCAAACGAACCTCCATCCACGCTATCAGCAAACACACACAGCAGCCTAATCCACATTCCTGTCATAAATGGGGGCCAGGATCAGACGACGGGATCAGGGGATGGGAGGAGGGCATGGGAACAGGGGATAGGATCAGGGGGCAAGATGAGGGGACAGGATGAGAGGACAGGGGAGGGGGACAGGATGAGGCTATAGGATAAGGGGATGGGATCAGAGAACAGGATCAGAGGACGGGGTCAGGGGACAGGATGAGGGACAGGATGAGGGGTTTCCCCGGCCCGGCCCCGCTCCCCCGAGCCTCACCCGCAGCTCCCGCAGCAGCCTCAGCCCGGAGCTCAGCACCACCCCGGCCATGGCCCCACCGGCCCCGCTCCTCGCAGCCCGGCCCGGGTTATCCGCGGTCTCTCCCCCGCCGCGCCCGCGGCCCCGGAACGGGAAGCTCTCCCGGCCCGGCCCGGCCCCTCACGATGGCGGCGCCGGGCCCGGCGGGCGGCGTGGCCGGGCCGGAGGTGCCCGAGGCCGAGCGGCGATTCCTGAGGCAGCACCCGCTGCTCAGCCCCGCGGGGCCCGGCAAGGTGAGGCCGAGGGGGGAGCCCTGAGGGGACGGGGCCGCCTCCCGGGGGGGTCGTGAGCAGGACAGTGGCACCCGGTGGGCTCGGCCCCGGCGAGCTCCGGTCCTGGGGGTGTTTCTGCCGCTGTGGGAGTGGGAGGGAGGCCGGGAAAGAGGGAGGGGGTCCTGCCCTTCCCAGCACCGGGATGGATACAGAAAGTATGGTTAGACATCGGAAGGGGCTGCCCGGGGAGGTGGTGGAGTCACCCTGGAGGTGTTCAGGGAAAGGCTGGACGTGGCACTTGGGATCACGGTCCGGCTGACACGGTGGTGTTGGACTTGATCTCAGAGGTCTTTTCCAGCCCGGCTGATTCTGTGGGGTAATCCCGTGGACCTGCTGACCATTCATGTTTTTTTCCAGGTGAGATGCAGGCTGACAGGACACGAGATGCCGTGTCGGCTGTCGGAGCTGCAGGCTTACACCAGTGGCAAGAAGTATCAGCGGCTCGTAAAGACAGCCAAGGAATTTGACTACAGCACGTTTGAGCCCCACATAGTGCCCAGCACAAAGAATTTGTATGTATTCTTCCTCCTCTGTGTTATGTTGTGCTTTACACTTTGTTCGGTCTCAGATGTAAAGGGGTTGAGCTTTACAAAGTTTTTATGGGTTTCGAGAGACTGGGGAAGGCTTTACGAAGTATGTATCAACTCTGAGTACGGTGCTTGTAAGTGAAAAGTTATGAAGTAATAGAATACTTAGACTCTTGCTGGCTCTTTCTTTTTGTGTCTGTAGACACCAGCTGTTCTGCAAGCTCACCCTCAGACACATCAACAAGTTCCCAGAGCACGTGCTGCGTCACGTCCAAGGGAAGCGCTACCAGAAGGCCCTAAAAACCTGTAAGTAGCTTTTCTGAAGCTGTTACCAGACAATTTTTTTTTTCCTAGAGCTGCTGAGATTCCAGTAGATCTCTGTGAGCAGAGGGGGAAAGTTTTCTTTAGACTGGCAGCAGTGTGCTGCTGGGTGTGCTCCTTGGCTCCTACATATAGGTATATATTTGGGGTGGAGCATGCTGAACTCTGGAGATGCATTTCCTATAAGCTTGAGCTGGACATGAAAGGACTCAGGGATTTTGGGCTGCCTGACTCTCTCTCTGGTAGATGAGGAATGCCAGAGGGAAGGAGTGGAGTATGTCCCTGCCTGCCTGCGACAGAAGCAGCAGCGGGCACAGCATCCTGATGACCAAATGAATGGGAGCAGAAAACCTCACAGGAAAGAGGAATTCTGGGAGCCAAAGTCCAGTGATGAGGATGGAGAGGAGACAGACGACAGCATGAGTGACCTGTACCCACGTGAGTGAGAACACTGGTGTCATCTATGTCCTGAAGAAGTTTGGTGGCTGACTTTCTCCTGGTTTCTTTATACTGTTTCCTGCTGCTCTTCCATACAGTTTGGGGGTTTTGTGCCTTGGAAAAGCTTACCACCACCAAATAAGAAATAGCATTATCACTAAGTGATAATCAGTTGGATCATGTAAGCTGTGAGGGGAAGGATACAAGATCCACTGGGATTTGCTGATCTAGGTAATTCCACTTCCCTCATTTCTCAGCAAGTCCTTGTGTCTGACGGAAGCTGGTCAGGCTGTTTCACTGACTTACATCTGGAAGTGCAGACCCATCTTGCTGCAGGAACAAAGGTGTAACTCCAGCTGTGCTGGAGTTCCCAGAACAGGATTAGTGAGAGCACCAGGCACATTTCCAATAAAACACCGTTGTGTTTATTTCCCTTGGCAAATCACCTTTAAGCTGCTCTCAGTGTAAAGTTAGTGCACACAGGGAACTGATTCTGAGCTAAATCTTTGTGTTTTAGCTGCGCTCTTCCCAGAAAAAAGCCCATCAGCTGCACAAACCACAAAGGGCAGCGATGACTTTGCGACAGACAGCGAGGATGACGGGGCCAAGCAGAACGGGGAGGACGGTGGAAGGATGGATGTCAGCAGAGCCGTTGGCAACAAGAGAGGAAAGGTGGGAGTCACCCCGCTGCCTGCAGCAGCAGGGGAGTGTGGAGCTGGGATCCCATCCCGTAGGTGTTCCATCTATTCCTGTCTGAGAACCAGCAGAAGGTGCAAAGCTGTTCAGAATAGACTTTCCCTGTGTGCCAGACACTGCCTTGCATCCCGAGGTGTGAATTGCTGCCAGGCAATGTTTATCCTCTCTGTGGTAGTGAGGGATGTTCCTGCCTGCATAAACAGCTCTTCTTTGGTGGGATCCTGCTGCAGTCAGTCTCAGCAGGGAGGCTGATGTGTGTCTTGTGGGTTAACTGTCCCCCCAATACACAAACATATGTCAAACCCTTTTGCAGTCACAGGGTCCTTCTAGGTCTCTTTTGAGGCGCTGCTTTACAGGACACCCCCTGATCCCACTCAGTTTGGGAAGCAGGCATCTGTTAGATTAATATAAAGATGGATAACTCTAATGCAGGCCCTGAGGAGTGGGCTGGATCCTTTTTGAACTAGGTCAAGCTGCAGAGTTAGAGCTGGATGAAGTTCAGATTCATCGCTTCAGGGAGCCTGTCACTGTTTGTAGCTAAGAAAACCATCTGCCTGTCAGAGAAAAGGCTGCAGGATCCTGGCTGGCTCCATGACCAGGGCTGGGCTCATTCTGGCTGTTGATGGAGACCACACTCAGTTTCTCTTTAAGCTGTCTCAGGCAAGGCTGGATTTGGGGGTTGGAAATAAGCTGATTGAACTTTTCTTCTCTACAGAAACAGTTGGGCCCTTTGAAGAAGAAATTCAAGAGCCATCATCGAAAACCCAAGAACTTCAAGAAGGCAACCAATGGGAAATAAATGTTATGATAAATACATGGCCTGAAGCCTGTTGTGTAACAATTCCAGTGGGAGCACAAGTGTTTGCCCATTCCAGTTAACTGTCACAGGTGCAGAGGGGAGTTGTGGGGTGGAATTAAGTTGTATTCAAAATGCTTCTAAGCCACCCCCACAGCCAGGCAAGGATTTCTGCTGCAGTCAGGTGCAGACAGCTCAGCACCCCGAGTTCTTTACAGAAAGCTGTTTTTTTGGTAGGCAGGAAAGCACAGCAGCCTCCTGAGCAGCTCCTCCAGGGAGCCCATCCATGGAGCATCACCAGCCACACACGCCAAGTGGATACAAAGATGCCATCGTTTTATTTTGATTGTTTTCGAAAATCAAAACATTTTCAAACACAACTAAGGTACAAAATACAGCATAAAATGAGAATTTATACTTATTTTTTTTTTCCACATAGAAAGCAAAAATATATTCAGAATGAATTCCAGAACACTTTGCAGAGCCAATTGGTAGCTGACATCCTGCTTTGTCAGAGTTTCTCAGCCACGGGGAGAGGTCACTGTATTTCTGGGAGATGCACAAGTACAGCAGCTTATGTAGGAAACCAGAATCTTCTGCATCAGGACTCACAGTTAGTAACTCTGAACATTGTGCCGCCTAGAAGTATCTGATAATGCCCTCCACCTAACTGTGCCCTTTGAGTATTTAAGTATTCCTGCTGCAAGGGACAGTACCAGTTCCTTGTCTGGGGTCTTTTGTTGGAAAGGGGACTTGGTTTTCACAGAGGAAACTGGTCAGTATTTCAGACTAGTCTGTCATCCAGCTCCTCAGTTAGACAGGACACAAGGAAGTTGAGAAAGCCAACTTAAGGGGCTACTTACAGGAGTAGTTTGTGTCATTCCATGTATAAATACTATGAACATCAACAGCAGTTCAGGTATCTGAGAATGGCTGCCTTGATGGAGTCCAAAACCGTTACAAGACCTGCAGTGACACTGGTAAAAGCCTCCTGTGCTGCAGATCTGCACTGAAAGGGCTGGTTTGTTTAGCTATGAAGAGTCAGGCACAGGGGAACAGTCAGGGTGAAAAATTCTCTTGCAAAGAAAGCTGCCTGTGACCTGATCTTAATGCTGAATTCCCTTCCCATCAGTTTGGATGTCAGGGGTTGGACTAGATGATCTGAGGTCCCTTCCAACCCTAACTACTCTGTGATAGCAATTGGCTTCCTCCAGCAGCAGCAGCAGCACATCTTGCCCTTACATTGGCTATTTTCCCCTTAAGATGATGAAATCCCTGGTTTAACATTCGACAGTGCTCTTCTATTTTTCATCAGTTCTTTCAGCCTCGCCTTCTCTCCTAAAAAGCAACCGTTAAGCTGAACCGTCCAGCTGAGTGTCCCTACCAGGAGACTCTAGGAAACACTGGAGACGTTCAGCTGAATTCCTCCTTGAACAACAAACAGTTGAGCATCTTCCTCAAGAGAGACAACAGTGCAAGGTACTCAGTGTAATGGTAGGAAGTCGGTAGGGCTCGTGCTGTCTAGAATCCTTCCCCAGTCTAGTGAAGGGGCTCACCAAGCTGACTAGCAGAGGACAAAATGCCTCCTCGGAGCAGCACTAAGCATGTTCATGGCACAGAGGTTGTGGCACTGAGAGGCCAGACAGGGCCTTCATCTCTGAGGGGTTCCTCCCTCTGAAGGTCCATCCCTGGCTGCTTAATCCACTGCCCAGGTTTTGCACTTGGATTCCTCGGCTATAACTGTTTGCAGACAAGAGTTGGGAACGGGGGCTGTGGCAGCACAAGGGCTACTTCCAGATTTCCTCCCTGCACAGCCCAGGGGTGGCTGAGATGGCAGAGAGAAGGAGCTGTCAAGAGCTCAGCACCCCAGCCCTTCAGACAGCTGGGACTCTACAGCCAAGAGACTGACAGAAGTGAATCTTAAGAAGCAAAGACTACGGATTAGAAGATTGACTGCTCTCATCTGGCATGTACTGAGTGCAGGGAGGAGGGGAGTTTCTGTAATTCTGAAGACATTTTCACCAATAACCTGCAGTTCAGATGCAAATTTGGGGCATATATGGATGGGAGATGGTTAATAGCAGAAAGGAGCCTTCATTATGGAACCTGCAGCACAAGTTGGCTCCCTGCTTGGGAATTCAGGAGGGGCAACTTTGGGCAAAGAATGCTTGAATAAAGAGTTCTTTTGGCACAGAATTTTCACAGAATCTAACATTCTGTCTCTTCAGGATGATCTCCCCCACTTTCTTCCTGAAATCTGATCAGCAATACAGGATCCATGATTAACAAGACAGGATTCTCCCTTGTTCCCCTCAGGGGCAGAATTGGGACATGTTAGAAAACCTTCTCCCTTTTCTTACCTAGAAAGGGCTACAACTACTTTCACTGTTTTCTTTTTGCCTTCTCTTTGGGGGCAGAAAACACCTACCTCTGTTGAAAAAACAAAAGGGAATTTACAGGTCTCTGAGCAGCAAAACAAGAGTGTTGTTTTTTTGTTTTGTTTTCTGATGCTGCTTTCCACCTTGGTAAGCAATGCTATAACCAGCAATGGAACTCCTTATGCACAGGACAGTGTGATGAGGGCGAGAAAGGGGATCCACTTTTTTAGTTATAGCTAGAACCCAACAGCACACTGAATGGTACAGCTGTATCTGCTCACAGTTCTTCAAATTTTAAGACACTGCTGACACTCAAGACAGCAACCATTCTACTGCAACTCACTGAAGCATCAGCAAAATGCAGGTTCCTTAGGTTAGTTCCAAATCTAGGAAGTTAGAATAAGCCTAGGCAACATTCCTTGGAGAAACAGGGTTTTTATCTATTACATTACTGGTGCCACAGTAAATCAAATTCAAAACATCTGTGCCTTTAATAGGAAGGGGGCATGTACGTGTAAAATGCTGGCAGTTTTTGTTGAATCCATAGAGAATCAGTTCTGGACTTAATACATTATGTCCCAAGAAGTGTTGCTATTCCTGTTACCACTCTTTTTTCTTCTCATCCATGGAAACTCCACCGGGACCCAGTGCAACCACGAGGAGGAGCCCTCCAATGACAGACATGGTCTGGAAGAAGTCGTATTTGAGGAAGTCGTGCATGGGCTTGTAGGCTGGGACGGTCCAGAAGGCATTGAAGTAGATGTTGATGCCAAACAGCCAGATGACCAGAGTCAAGGCAGCCAGCTTAGTCTTGAAGCCAATTGCCACCAAGATAATCAGGGCTGTGCCCACAATGTTCTGCAGAATCTGCAAGGGGAAAAAAAAAAACCAAACACATAAACTTACACAGTTCTTAAATAGATACACAAACATCCACGTTGTCATGGCAGAGATGATCTAAGCTTAGTTTCTAAGTTATTAATTCTACTAATAGACTTAAATGACGAGCACTGAGCGGGCCCTGCAGCCCATCTGGCCACTGATACTATATTCTAGTTCCTCAACTCATACTTTTACACGGGGTTATACTTACAGCAAAGAAGTTCATATCAAAGTGTAGCAGTGTCATGAACATGAGGACGAGCAGCACACGGCCCCCCAGCTGCATGTACTGCTTGGGAGAGCTTTCCCTCATGGTAGGGACACCGGCAAACATGCTCTTCCCCTCGGAGCGAGACTCAGCCAAAAGCAGCAGCAAGCCTCCCCCAAGGGCAAGGTTCCTACAGAAACACAGAAATGGGGAGAAAGGAGGAAAAGAAAAAGAAAAAAAAAGGCAGTTTAGTACAGTTTGCACTGATCTATAAAGTCCTATCTGACAGTTTCAGCTCGGTAAGTATCTACGTGCCAGTGAGGAGCGACCTCTGCGATGTGTTAGTCTGTGTTAGACTTCCCAGCTCCAGCAGAGCTGAACACACCAAGGATTTACCCAAGGAGGAACACACCAAGGATTTACACAAGCCTGTGCAGACAGGTACAGCCTGCCAGGGAAGCCCAGCTCAGGCACAGTTGCTTTAGTGTCGGTTACAACATGAATTTAGCTGTGTTAAGAGTTACTCTGTACCTCAGGTTTAGCCATATATGCCAGAGTAGTTCAGAGGTTGCTTTGAGAAAACAGAGCAGCAGAGCTGCTATGAAGTTACACATTTACAGGGCTGTAGTAAGCCCAGAGTATAGTTTTTGTGCTGTCCTCCTGGTAACAGCCAGCCATCACTCAGGATTTGACAAGAACGCTTACGTTTAAGAACCCTGTTTTCTTCTCAGGGAAGGTGTTAAGAGATTTAAAATCCCAGAAACCCCTCCAGTGTCCACATGCTGTAGTTTTCTTGGGAAATGGCTTCAATCATACATAAGCACAGTTGCTATTTTAGCGATTTAGGAAATAGTAGAAACTCACTGATCCAGTCTAAACACTTGTTTGTGAGCTGTCAGCAAGGTTAGCAGCAGAAGCACTTAGATCCCAGTGAGTTAGGATTAGTCTTTCCCTTCCACAGTACTAAGCCTGCTTTCTACAGTTTAACACAGGCTCTACTGATTTTTCAAGTGCTGCCATTCCTTTTTTAAAGTAAATGCATCACTTGCAAAATCTTTCTGGTAAATACTATGTACGAATATAATTTCCTCTGTCCCCGAGCGCCAGTTTTTATTCTGTTCCCATAAAAACCTTCAGAAGGAGCCATACCTCATCAAGAACTTCAGGTCCCATAGAATGCTGTATGCAATAGTCTAGGCAAAGAATAAAACAGGTTAAAACAGCATATAAATTACACTGAGTGTGTGAATTTATGTTATAATCTCAAATCTGTATCAGCCATAGCAGAAGTCAATTAATTTATACTGAAAGAAATAAGGTAGATTACATCAGTGTGGTCCAATGAGTCCCTGTAAAACAGGGAATGGAAGCCAGAATTTGATTTGTCCTTTAGTCCCCCCCCAAAATTCACTGGGTTTGTAGGGGAAGGATGGTACTAGCCAGGATCCTTTGTGATGGGGACAGTTCTTTATAAAAGCTGTGTGCCAAAAGCCAAAGCAACTGCAGGTTCCACATTTGGCTCATCAACTGATGTACAGGTAAATTGCCAGTTACT